TCCCTGTGTAGCTGAGGGCAGCACCCAGCCCCAGCAGTGGGTATGTGGGGGATACGGGAGTGAAGCTGGGCTGTGGGGAACAGCGGGCTCTGGGTGGGCACAGCTGGCACAGCTGAGCAGTGCGACCCAGGGCCATGGGGCCGCACATCTGGATGGGGCAGCAGGACAGCCTGCCCTCTGCTGCAGGGCCAGCCGCTGTGGGCAGCCCCAGGCACGCAGCTCCACTTTCCTGCTCCCAGCTTGCACCTGCCTGTGCTGCGGCAGGGAAGGGCAGGCTGGCTCATCCCCTTCTCCTGCAGCACCACCAAGGGGGGGGGTCTGCAATGGCCCTTTCCTCACACAGCTCATGCAGGGCACTGGAGCCAGCTGGCCCCTTGGGGCCGGGGGGAAAATGCTCAGGGAGCTTTACCTCTGACCTCCAGCTTGGCCTCGCACTGCTTGGTGCCATACTCGTTGACGGCCTTGCAGGTGTAGAAGCCGGTGTCAGTGCGCTCTGCCGCCAGGATGTGCAGCGTGAAGAGCCCCCGCGCCCCCTCCACTTCCTCTGCATGGTGCCGCACCGGCTGCCGGTTCCTCAGCCTGCTCGGGACACGGGCAGAGCGGCACAGTCACGCTTGGCCCTGCATGCCCAGCCTGGCTGTCCCCAAAAGACCACCCTCCTCCACCCCCAACCCTGCTCGGGACCAGAGTTCTGAGCTGGCTGTCCCCAAATGGGGAGGTCACCATGTCTGTTCCCTCCTTCCCTGCCCAGCCGTGACCCCTCATGCACCGGGACTCACCAGTAAATGATGGGCTTGGGCTCCCCGCGGACGCGGACGCTCATGCTGACATCCTGCCCCTCCAGCACCGACTGGTCCAACAGGGACACCTGGGGAAGTAGGGATCAGAGAGAAGCAAGCACCCACCTGCACCCAGGGCTGTGCATCCCCACCACTGCACCCAGGGCTATGTATTCCCCATCACAACAGCAGCCCTGGTGAACCAGGGAGCTGGTGGAGTGGAGGCTGTCCAGGTGCCAGGAGCACCCCAGATCAGGGGGCAGGAAGGCCTGACCGGGCACCTCCTGGCACTGGGGACCACAGGGCTGCGGTCACAGGGCACTGCTCCTCCTCAGCCAGGTCCCGGGGGGGGGTTGTCGGCTCACCTCAAAAGTGGGTGCAGCCTTGAAGGTGCTCTCCGGGGAGCCGTGGGCAGCCCCATGCTCAGCTCTAGGCTGCAGCTTCATGGCCGGTCGATGCTGGGGGGTGCCGGACTCGGGGAACTCTTCCAGGGGGCTCAGGTACTCCT